GACAGCTGTTAAAATTATTCCAGTGACAGCTCATTATATTGTTTACAAGCGTACAAAAGCATTTTGGTTAGAATTTTCCAGGAAAAAGTTATTCGTGATGGAATTCAAGCGTGATAGTTGATTTCTTTATGTTTGGCTGGAAAACCACAAGTGGTTATCGTTAGTGCAATCCAGCATTTAAATGTGAACACATTTTTTGGGTCTCGTACCAAAGCTCGTACCGTGATACTGGTGGCGTAGCCCGACGTCAAGGAACTGGACGGAAGAAAACAGCAACACCAGCAAAAATGGTTCGAAAAGTAAAGAAGCGACTTGATCGAAATCCGCGACCCACTGGCCTACTGACCACATCGCAATAGCCCATTCGCCAGTGGAATATTTACCCCTGGCTCGGGGTAAAGTGCAAGAATTTACACCGGAACAAAAGAAAAATAGACTAAAAGGAGCTAAACAGTTGCTTCGCTTGGTCGAAAGTGGAAAACTGTCGAATTTGGTTTTCTCCGATGAGAAAACATTTACAAACATCCAGCAGTTTGTAAACAACAAGTTTACTTGTCAGCTGAAAATGTGCACCTTCGGTGTGGGTCGCGCACAATGGCCACCAAAATCTTCGGATACCAATCCGTTGGACTATTGTGTCTGGAGTATTTTGGAAAGCAAGGTTGGCACTAAAAAATACCAAAGTGTCGATAACCTCAAGCACACGCTTCGCCGGGAATGGGCCAAAATACCGCAGAGCAATATTCGGGCAGCGTGTGACGGTTTCATTGGCCGTTTGAAGACCATAAATCGTGTCAAAGGTGACCAATTCGAAAAAATCTAAACTTATTTTAAAATTTGATGCTATTTCCGAATTTTTTTGCTTTCATTCAATAATATTTAAGAAATGCAAAAATTATCCCGTTTGACTTTGTGGCAGTTTTTTTTTTCTCACCCTGTAGTTTATGATAACCTTTATCGAATGCCTCACTGAAGTCTGTGTAGATTGCATCGGTTTGATTTCCTTGAAGAAATCCTCGATTGATTCTTTGCCAGTGGATGACAAAGAATGCACAACAATTTTTATTTCAAATTTCACCGAAGGCGCATGATATGAAACTTAAAAAGTAAGTAAGAAACTTAAAAAGTAATTTTATTAATTGAATTTGATCCCCAACGAGGCCCACTTTTGATACCATTGCCAAGCTTTTGGGGAAGACCTTTGAAAAATTCGCTCGAAGTTGTTTAAAGAGTACAACTCACGCAAATTCAAGCGAGCGCGCTCCTGAGAGCAGAAAAAATATTGGGCGCACTGAAATTTTCGATGTCGCTGGAATATGAGTGTCCATATTTTCATGGTTTTTGAGTGGAATAAAATTTATTCAAAATCGAGCAGATAGTACTCTTGCTTTTTAGTTTTTGTTATAACTCTGTTGTATTTTGTATGTATGTGTATTTGAGTTAATGAGCGAACCTGTGCTCAGCTTTGGGGAATTTTACATATGAATGCAAAAGAACTGCTTTAAAGATGCTGCCATTACTAGGCATTCGAAGGACAATAATAAAAAATAACAAACAAATCTGATTTTTTGGGCGCCAAATTAAGGGATCGTAAAAAAGAAATATTACGAAAAATACAATTATTTGGGCACCAAATTAATGAATAGTAAACAAGCACAGCATGTGACAGATATTTATAAAGTAATTTCTAGGGATTCATTCACTAAGAGGCTCAGTTTTGGCGCCATCACCGAGTTTTTGAGGATTATTGGTTTGACACGTCCTAAACGACCTAAAAATACAGTCCCAGAGATCACAATGATGTCAAGGCTTCTGAAAGTGATTGATTTACTAAATATATCACCAATACGGGAAGAACGAGTATATAGTTCAGTCGGAGAATAAACATTCTATAACCAACAAATGGCTACTAAAATAAAAAGGCCCACAATTCTCTTTTGGCCTTTGCGTTCACACCTTTGTCTTGTTTCGCTATTTTGGATAAATGTAACGCAAAAAGTGACTTTGGAAAACATGAGAATGTATCTTAAGAAAACCATAAAAAATAGTTACAACGACCGAATATGAAATCACCAAGTCAAAGAAGTAGAATGAAACCAAGTTGCAAGTAAGCCAAGTCGAGCCGACCGACCAACCGACAGACTATTTACCCAACCAACCATGCAGACACAGAAATCCAAAACATTTTTACACAGACAGACACATGGTGTTCACCAGCTGACACAGTCAGCCAGCCAGTCAGCCACCTGCAAATGAAATCATTAAAGCTCTTTATATTGGTGTTTTAGTGTTGTTGTGGCTGATGTTGCTGCTGCTGCTATTGGCTTCTTTGATTTTTATTTCAGTAAGCTTGTTGGTTTGCTGGCTGGCAAGTACCACCACCACCAACAACAACCTGAACTGAACGAAACGGCCCACAAGGTAAGTGAGCTTATACAATACAAGTAACCCAGTTTTTTGTTTCTTACTTGATATAAAGCTGGGATTTCGCAATTCGTAGGAGATTGATGGGGAGGGGACAGACATTTACCTCGGACGGGGGAGGAGGCGCAGAACATTGCAGGGTAATACAGAACAGCGAAAATCTAAACAGAGAGGAGGCCATGGCAAATTTGTCAGAAACCAACAAAAATATAAAAACAAAAACTGTGACAAATGCAATCGAAGGGAAATGCACGATGAGAAGATCAGCGGATATTAGATGACAGAGTGGTTGCAATTGCTGGTGTTGGTGCTGCCACTTGGCATTCTTTTGAAATGATGATGGCAAAACAAAAGAACGAACGAACGAATGAACAAAAATGTTCTGAGAAGTGAAAGCTTAACTGAAACAGAAAAAAGGGGACACAAATTGGGATCACATTGATCAACATTGTTGCGATCAAAGGGAAACTTCGTTATGAAATTTATGAGAATACCTTCGGATATGACTGTCGAGCAAGATTTTGGAAATTGTAAATACAACATCAAGCGAAATCTTTAAAAAAAATGTATGTCTTGTCTAATTATACGAAACCAGTCTAAATCAGAGTTTATTTACTAAAAATCTATCTCTATCTCTCGGAATGTTTTCAATAAAAAATTAGTATGAGCAAGCAAGTTTTCGATGAAAACACCCTTATCCAAGCAAGTTTTCCATGAAAACTCGCTCATCCAAGAAAATTTTCTATGAAAACTCACTTATCCCGGCATGATTTCAATGAAAACTCGCTTATCCCGGCAAGATTTTTAGGAAAACTCGCTTATCCCGGCAAGTTTTCTATAAAAACTCACTTATCCCGGCAAGTAATAATGAAAACGCACTTATCCCGGCAAGTTTTTTTAGGAAAACTCGCTTATCCCGGCAAGTTTTTTTTTAGGAAATCTCACTTATCGCGGCAAGTTTTTTTAGGAAAACTCGCTTATCCCGTCTAGTTTTCTATGAAAACTCACTTATCCCGGCAAGTTTTCTATGAATACTCGTTTATCCTAACAAGTTGTCTATGAAAACTCGCTTATCCCGGCAAGTTTTCTATGAAAAAGTTTTTTAGGAAAACTCGCTTATCCAAGCATGATAATACGCTAATACATGCTTTTCCATGATAATACGCTTATCCATGCATGTTTTTTTTTTTATAAAAAAAGCATATCCAATAAATTTTTTATGGAAACTATTTTATCCGTGCAAGTTTTCTGTGGAAACATATTTAACCATTTGCTGTGAAAAGTAGTTAATAAGTAGATTTTTCCATGAACTTTAAAACGAGAACTCGTCTATCCACAAGAGTTGTAACGATCTTTTATCCTGTTAGCGCAGTTATCTGCGAAATTACGTACACAGTATGTTTACACGTACACCGGATTAAAAGCCTTCAAGAGGATTTAATTGACGTATGTTTAACGCAATTTAAATCCACTGGATTTACTATTCCTTAAATATTTTTAAGATTAAAAATTAGAGTATTATATTAAACATTTTTGAAAAGAATAGTATTTTACCGTTTTCTTCATTTTTTATTTGTTAAATTAAATTGTCGCTCCATTTATAAATGTCATGAACATTAGCACGGTTCACACAAGACAATATAGGTATTACGTTTGCCATGTTAATTAAGTGATCTGGCCACACATCAATTTTGATAGTTAACATTTAATCAGAATTGTCACAAGGTTTTTTTTTTTTTTTTTTTTTTTTTGATTTGGTGAACGTAAACCTTATTAACCTTTCCTACTGTAACATCACATATGTACTGTCATCTTAATGTCAAACATCGTTTGACATTAATTCATTCAGTTTTTCAAAATCAAATCCAACACCTGCCGCAGTAAACTCCCACAGATGGTTTGACAACCGATTGACAGTTGTTGGCTACCGAGTCCCCACGCACACACCTCACATACACCAACCAACCTTAACTATGTGGCAACTCTGTCACATATGCAATCATTAGAGATTGCATCACCGATGGTAGCGCAAAAAGGCCAAACAGTCAAAATTTGTGACAATTTGATATCCCAAAAAATTGTATTTAAATTTGCCTATGTAAGAGTAGGCTGTGTGAGAAGGGCTGCATAAAAATCACTGTCACCACCATTCAGCCATAAACTGCAGGTGTGTGGTTGTGGACAATTATTTACACGGTACAAATAGCTGGTGGACATTTTTACTGCACACTCACAAAGAAACGCTAAAAGATAAAGCATTTAGTCTCCCACTTTTATTTTCGTTTTTTTTTTTTACTTTTTGCTTACAACAACACAACGGGTTGTCGTATTCTTGATTTATTTGTTGTTCTAAAAATTATTTGGGTCATTTGTTTTAGTTTTCTGCCGTTTCGTTTAGAACACTTTTCAGTTTGTAATAAAATAATAACAAAAACAATATAAACGAGAAGAAGCAGCACAGGGTAAAGGTGTTTTAATTCTTTGTAGGGGGAGTGAGTTTCTTTTTTTTTTTGATATTAGAAATTGGGACAGTTCTTTTTTAATTTGTCGGGGCATTTTGGAAATTTTTGACTCACTTTTTGAAGAACTTTTAGAACTGGGAAATCGTTTATCGTTGAGTATGATCCAATTTTGTTGCAGTTTTAGTGATCCTGTAACCGAGGGTTTTTCGCTTTCAAATTACAAACGAAATTTTTTGGCAATTGCACTTTTTATAACTTCTGGATGCGGATTGTTCTTTTTAATTTTATTGTAATGTGTTTTCTTATTTTATAAATTTTTCAATTCGACCTCTTAATAACGACAACAATGAAAAGTATTGCATTTTTTCTTGTGAGATCGTGTGGAAGACGATGTACCAACCCGGATTGCACAGACAATACTTTTAAAATGATCGACCGTTTTTACCGACCACGATGATGTTGATGCTGCGAAAGAACAATATTGTAGGTCCAACGATCAGAAGTAGGAAAAAAGCGTAAAATGACGCGTTTCTTTGTAAGCCCAGAAACGCACTGAAAGCATCAACGGGCGAGCGCACACACCAAACATATACCGTACCGCAATGTTTCTATTTTGCTGCGCTTTGGTTTCTTGGTTAGCTGATTGTATTTTTTTTTCTTGACACTGTAACCACAACGGAACCGTTTAACAAACATCCAGAGAAATATATGTATATATTTTTATTTTAAAAAAATAAAAAAACCGAAACAAAATTAACGTAAAATATAAAAGTCCAAGAAGAAGCCGACTTCTGATGCTCGGAGTGTGTGTGGTCGTTCGCCTGTCGTTGTCGTCAACAAATTCATCCGCATCCGCAATGGTCGCAAAACAAAAACATACTGAAATGACTGTCAATGGGGCCAGTGGTGTTTGCTGGTCTCAAAAGCAAAACAAACCAGCAAATCTCTGGCAGCAACGCTCGACCAACAACAACATTCGAAATGCCCGACTTTGGGGATTCTCCATGCACATCAGATCGTTGTCGGCGGTGGTGGTGGCAGCAGCGGCCCACCTTCAACAACCCAGCAATAATTGTCCAGCAACAACAAGAACGCCAGCAACATGAATGGCATACTCCAAATGTGAGTGATGGAGATGATGGTTAAACATAGTTGTTGTTTGTGTGAACGAATGCTTATTATACTATTTCTCATATTCTCCCCACACCACCAGCCGAAACACAACAGCGACGTCGAACGCCAACGTTATTAATTCAACGTCGACAGAGCTGCTTTGCTGCAGGTATTTCCCTCATTCATAGTGTGCTTGCTTGTTTTTGTTTTTTCTTTTTTGTATTATTTTTTTTGTTGCGTTTTCTCAAGGCCTACAGATTTAGGCCAAAAATCTCAAGTGATCTAAACCAACCAAACAAGAGTCGTTTCGTGTCGTCTGTCGGGCTTGGTTGATTCGTTTACAATCGTTTTTTTCTTCTCCCCAATAACAACACTATTACCTCCCTCGCCCCATGCACACACACAACCCATGGAGACCCATAAGTGGAGTGCATTGAGTATGTTGGGGTGTAATAGTTTGTGTTGTTGTTGTTGTTGCTTGTTTATGGTTAGTGAGTACCGAGAGTAGTAGTGAGACAATTTCAGCAACTTACAAAACCCACAAAGAATTTTCTTAAACTAAACGAGAACAAAAACAAAAGCAACAACAACGCAAACGAGTTGCAAACCCAAACACACACACACACAAATATACTTCATTATGGTTACATTGTAAAAGGCGAATATGAAGAAGAACTCTCAGGGCAATGATTGCAATTGCAATAAAAATGCATAACGACACGGATGCATCCATCCATTCATTCATTTATTGATTGGGAAATTTGGAAGTTTAACTTGGATGGATGATACAACAAGGCAATTTTTCAATAAAGAAATAATACTCAAAATTCAGGAACTGGGATCTAGTCTTAAAAAAGACACTGTGTTCATCTATTAGTTATCGGAGCATAGCACAATTACAAGGTGTTCCAGCAGGTTTTACGAATCAGACTAAATGTCAAAATTTGTTCTTTACACTGTATAAGGTATATTTTACTTTTTGTGTCACAGTAATGAAATTTGATATTGAAAAGTTGCAAAAGTTGAAGATTCTTTCATACACGCAAACTCTGGTCGTTTGTTGTACTAACCTGGCGTTGGAGACGACACTGTGAATATGACCGTGTGGTGTGTGAATGCAGCAAATTTCACTCGCAGCCAACTTAACTTCTATTTTACAGCCAGCAAATAATTTAATAAGCCTTTACGATCTGGGCCTCGCCGTACCGAACCCACTCGTCAGCTCCGTTGCACATTAACCTCTTAATTTTACCTCAAGTAAACCCTTACAAAAGATGTTAACACGAGAAAAAGGTAAACTTTAAATCGCTTTTAACGTTTAAAAAAAAAGTTGCAGAAGTTGTTATTTGTAAGCTCTGTTTACACATTGAATTATGCTCCTGTTGCTAGTAAACCACTAATCTTGATCTGTTGCCGAACCTGCAAGAATCTTCTGGAGTAACCTCAGTTTATCCGACATGAAAGTTCTTGGTTTTACCACCCGTGGTAGTCGATTTCGGAAAGTGTATTATGAATGTGGGAACAACTAACTGGAGATATGTCGATATGACTCAATAGTGTCGGTACAATTTGATATTTGGCCAGGTTTCCTAATGAGTTTGTCCAGAATAAAATATACTGTGTGAACCGGGTTTATGCATGTCTTGAATGAGAGTTCTCTTTTAAGGAGTAATGATCGAATTTATTTAGGATCAAAAGAAAAGGAGAAACGAGAAAAATGAGACTAAACAACTAACATTTTTAAAATTACGAACGGAAACTTTGTTTTTTTTTTTAATGTAGATAGTCTGATTAAAAAAGTAAAAAAACCGAATGTAGCTGTTATATTAGGGTCTATAATACGACATGGATCTGCATAGGTATTATAACATTCAAATGCGAAACTTAAAAAAAAATCGGTGAATAATGTAGCTTAAATCATCAATATTATATGGGGCTATACTAAAATGTGGACCTGTACAGACAATTTTCTGTCATAGGCTGTAGTATCCATTACAAACTTCAAATACCAAATTTGAAAAAATTCCGGTGAATAATGTCGCTAAAATCAACAAAGTACAGAATATCGGGAGGTACCATTATATGGGGGCTATACGAAGACGTGGTCCTACACAGACAATTTTCTCTCTTAGACTGTAGCATGGTACAATGAAGAGAAGGTAGGTCAACTTTGAAAAAATTGCAAGTATAGAGGTCTACCTGTTTGGCTTGTAATGTCAGAATTAGTATCAAAACAATAAAAAATCAAACAACTTGTTGCATTTATTTTTAAGAAGTAATTGAAAAAACGCGATAACTGAATGAAAGGTCAAAACTTCTTTTCAAAAGCATGTACTATATATCTCTAAAGGATTATTTCGCTACAAAAACTCTAGATTTTGTAGATGCATACGTTGAAATAAACATTTTGAAAACACCCGAATTTGAATATTTTCTGAACAATTTTTTTGTTATTGAAAAGAAAACATATACATAAACAAATAAAGATGACATATTAAGCCGAGAAAATAAAAAAATTGAAATCATATGGTAGTTCTGCCCTACCTTGAATTCATTGTACCATGGACTGTAGTATCCATTACGAACTTCAAATACCAAACTTGAAACAATTCCGACGAATAATATCGCTAAAATCATCAAAATACCGGATATGGGGAAGTACCGTTATATTGGGGCTATACCAAAACGTGGACCTACATGGCCCATTTTCAATACCAAAATTCCCTCAGACATAATATATATTTGGGTAAAATTTCATCAATCTACTTCACTTCATTCATTAGCTTGAGTTATTTCCACAGACGGGCGGACATCGCTAAATCGGCATAGAATTTTAGTCTGGTCAAGAATATATATGCTTTGTGGGGTCTAAAATGTATATTTTGAGGTGTTACAAACGGAATGACAAACTTAATATACCCACCATACTATGGTGGAGGGTATAAAAAGGAAGACGAAGGGGTTTTTGTTGTAACAGACAAAAACAACTTACATGGTTATGCTACTTCGTTCATGTAAAACGAGAGTATAACAAGTGGAAAAAGATGGAAATGTTTACAAGTGCGGTTGTAAGATTTAGAAGATTTTCCAAAATAATTTTAGTTTTATGTAATTCTTTGGCTATTGTGCGCTGGAAATGAAGCGAGAAACCTCATTTTTTAACCATTCTTGGGTGGCGCGTGCTGAGCGCGATGGTGCTGAGTCCTGTTGGAATGTCCAAGGTCTGCGGCTAAAATTTTTGCGTGTCCAAAGCTTTAATACACCCTCCAGAATATTTTCGCGACAATATTCGACATTTATTCTGATGCCAGGTCGATTAATAGAGCGGAGAGCGACCATCGGCTGTTATGGCGGCCCACACCATCACCATGGCCGGCGCTTGAGTTCTGGTGGCCAACCGAAGGTGCACATTTTCGACTGACCTCTTTGGCAATTAAACACGATCATTTTGTTTATTTACAAACTGCTGGACAACGAATGTTTTCTCATCGAAGAAAACCAAATTCGGCAGTTCACCACTTTCGGCCAAGCGATGCAACACTTTATTCTTTTGAGTCTATTTTCTTTCTGTTGCGGTGTAAATTCTTGCACTTTTTGGAATTTCAATGGCTTTACCCCGAGCTCATTTTTCAATATTTCCCGAATGGAATATTGCGATATGTTCAGCACACGAGCCATTTTTCGGCCACTGCTACTCGGATTTCGATCAAGTCGCTTCTTTACTTTTCGAACCATTTCTGCTGAAGTTGCTGTTTTCTTCCTTGACGTCGAGCTACGCTACCAGTATCAAGGTAACGAGCGATGGTACGAGACACAAAATATTTATTCAGATTTAAATGCTGGAGTGCTCTAACGATAACGATGGAAAATTCTCCCCAAAATGCTTTTGTACGCATATAAACAATATAATGAGCTGTCTCTGGAATAATTTTAACAGCTGTCGGACGAATGACTTAGAAATGACAGCAGTCTGAAGTTGTTTGCAATTTTTCATCTCACGCTGTATATGTAATGGAATTGGCAAATTTGATATCATTGGGTTTGCGTATAACCTATAAACTGTAAATCCACTATAAGAAAGTCTGTGAAATTAACGTCCTTGTAAGAACGAGTCGCTGTAGCAGTCTTTCTTTCTTTTCTTATAGAAAACTTCATTGCAGGTAAAGTAAAGCAGATATTTTGCTGTTTCCGAAAAAAATATTCCATAATTATGTACCTTTTTAGGTCCCAACATGCGACATATTTTGTAACACTCTCCCTGCTAACCTAATTTTAAATTTACAGTCACCTACAAACAAAAGTAGGAGTCTTGTACACATATAGGAATATAGCACTATATTATTACATGCTTGTCTATAAACAGCACGTTGTTGTAAATGGGAGCAAGTCAACACACATGAAGGCACGCACACATGCCTATATCTGAACATAATAATATCACAGCAGTTTGTAGGTTAATAGTGATGGTCAGGCAGCAAGCCTTAATATAAAAACGTATGATACACACGCTCTTTCCCCACGCACACACTCAATAAATTTCTACATAATAACCAATGTATAAGAGAAATTCCCTTTGAATTATTCTTGGAAAGTTCTCTGGGAATAATGAATGTTTGTTTTCTTTGGCATAACAAAAATTCGCATACACATACATACGTTTTCCACCTACATGGGTAGGACGTTCTTCCTTGATTAAATCCCTCCTCATTACATGATTTTTGTATTCTCGTTTCAACTCTTCCTCAGTGCTTCTTATTTCCTTTTTTACACTTTCTTTTGATTTACTTTAATTCTTTGCTATATTTTTGTAAATTTACACTCACACATTTAGATGTTAATTTCCTTCATATTTTTTATGTTTTATAACAATAGATAACAGATTTTATTTTAAGTATTTTTAATATACTTTTTTTAACAATTTTTTTATTAATTAAACAATTATTCTTAACAATTTTTGTACTGCAGCTTATAATTCTATAAGGAAATGAAAAGACCGTAAAAAGGATATTCGGCAAATGACTGTCGGCTCCACACATGCACAAACATTTATCGATAGCTGAGGTGTTTTGAAATGAGTGGGAGAGAACAGGGAGAGCCAGAAAAGTTATCGATTGAGTTGTGTCCAATTAGCAAAACAGGGTGACCAATAAAAAGTTAAATTTTCTGGTGGGTAATGAAACGGAGGGAAAATCCAATTGGATCATTCTAATTGTACCAAAGTCCCATAAACAGGTCGTGTAAGCACAAAGGAAAATTAATATTATTGTGATAGAAATACGTACATATTTTCAAAATTTTTGTTTACGTTTTCATAAAGTCATTTAAAATAAGCATATCCATCTGTACATTTTCTGTAATCTATCTTGTAAAATTTCACTGCATAGAAAATAGGTTTCCATTTCCATTTAATTTTTGTATATGCAATGGATTTATAAATGTAAATTTTGACAATGAAATGTTGTCAAAGGAATAATTTCGAAAAATTCGACCATGCTTATGAGGCTAATATTTTAGTTTTCTAATTTAGATTATATTTCTCCTTGACTTTTATACCCTCTAAAGGTAGGGAAAAATGACAGAATGTTTGATCGGAAACAAAGGTAAACTTCTTGTTAGTTGTACGCCCTTATTTAAGGAAGAATTCAAATATAGATTATTGGTAATTGTACCATGAGCGTTACTTTCCTTATATTTATTGTCGAATCTTATATTCTAAAGTCCGCTTAGCTTTTACATAAGTGGTCTTTTTCAGAAACTGAAAGAATCTACTAGTTGTTGGGAAAATCGGTTATCGTAGTAAAAACTTTTACATTCTTACAGTTCTGGAACGGACCAAATATAACTTCATTAAATTTGATCCTGGATTTTCCATTATTTTACTCTTTAATAGAAAATTTAGATATTATAACAATATAGAATATTTAACAATATATGTAATCATACGAAATGGTAATAGAAAATATGCGCAAAGAGATTTAAAAATGCAATGTACTTTATTTTATCCTTAAAAAGTTAATAAACAGCTATTCTAAATCAAACATCGGTTATATGTAAATGGAGTTTCTATGCAACTCTGATTTAAAACAATTCATCATGTGTACGCGACATGGTATGTGTAACCAATATTCATAGTAGAAGATAGTCGCCTCGACACAGCTGCTGGAACAACGAACTGTCAAACCAATTTTGAAATTAAACATTTTGAATAAAAAATTTGTCATATTTGTAACAATTCTTGAAAATACATATCATGAAAACCTCCGATTGATGTCGTATAAGAAGTATTATAAAAATATATTTATTTTTGATTTTACTTATTTATTATTTATTTTTAAAAATGTTGACGTATCAACAATGTTCAGAAGTGTTGATGCATCCACCTGTATTCTTCTACCCTGATCAATATCTACACCTGTGAACAACCCTTATTGTTATTGATTTTTAAGACGTCATCAAGCATTCAAAATAACGGCGACGTATGTTAAGCCTCTGGCTTTGGCCAGCTAATGTTGACGTAAAAGGCACTCGCATCAGCGAATCCGATGGGATAAACGAAAATTAGAAATCAAAATTATAAAAGGAACATTGTCTATGAATTATTTAAAATTGTAAATAAGATGTTTAAAAATGTTATAAAAACGTAATTATGTTGAAACTCATATATATCATATTTGCAAAGGAATGCCATTATACCAATTCATAACATAATGACCATGAAAGGTTGCTCAACTTGAAAAAAACTAGAAAAATGCAACTCTGTGCTGGAGTCTTATAGTGTCAAATATACTTTTAAATATTCATATGGTTTAGTTTACTTTTAATTTTTTTTTTAACAAAATTCTTATATTGGGAAAAACTCGCGAAACAAGAATGGCATTTTGAGGTTATTCTACAAGATTGAATCTAGAATAGTAGGACAATACAGTTTTATCCCAAATTCGAAAATATCCATTTATTTGGCAACCGAATTTGAAATAATATCCAATTATTGTGTTTTTTATTCAAAACAATGCACACACATACTCAAAATGTGTATATGTCTCGACAAAATAAGGGCACCAAAAGAAAACAAGTAATTCAATTCAATTCAAATTTATTGAGTCTTTGTTTTCTTAACACGAAACAAATTCTTAAAACTATAATGTCTTGTTTTAATGACTAAAGCGTAATTTGCAGCGTCTGGCTTTATTAAAATTTGTTAATTAGTGTTTACTAAAACTAAGTGTGAAGAAAACAAGTAAAAAGCAGTAAGTTCGGCCGGGCCCTCGACCATTTGGAACGAATTAGAAAATTTAATAAAAAAATAAAATCCATTAACAAATCTGTTAAATCTTTAAAATACCAATGGTCCGTTCCAGTACATACAAGAATCTACTAATTTTGCAATTTTCTTCGATATAATAAAGGGAAAATCGGTTATCGTATTCTTACAGTTCTGGAGCAGACCACAAATATCAGAAGGTGCCGATATATGGGGCGATATACGATATTATGGACCTATAAACCAAATCTATGACTGGGGGTAAAGTACTCACAAAGAACTCATTGTGTAAAATTTCAGATAATTCCGTTGAAAAATGTGGCTAAAATAGTCAAAACACAGAATATCGAGGGATACCGTTATATGGAGGATATACAATATCGTGGACCTATATAGATAATTCTCTTCCAAGGGATAAAGTACTCACAATGAACTCCTCGGGTACCGTTATATGTTTTTTTCGGAACCATATTTTACATACCTTCTGACGCTGGAAGCGAAGAAAACCCCATTTCGTTTAATTTATTCTTTTTTCTTTACTTCTATTGCAACCTTTTAAAAAAGCGTAACATAACGAATGAAAAAAACACACGCGATGACGCCGTTATTCCGTCAATTAACACTGCTTTTGACGCCGTTGCTCTGTAAACATTCGACTCAGGCACGATTTTAGTGTATGTGTGACCGTGTGTGTGTATGACTTTAAACTAAAATGGCGACGTCAGTAGAGTGATGGAATTGAGGAATTTTTTCAATTGTGTTGATTCTTTTTTATATTCATATTATATATACATATATTGGTGGATATTTAACCCAATTACAACAATAAAGTGCAGTTTTGAAAACACAAACAAATAATCTAGTGGAAAATGTTAAAGAATTTTCGCAAATGCATCAAATAAAAAGTGAAAATACAAAACAACATCATCAATTCGATGAACGAAAAGAACGTCGCAGTGAAAAAAGTGAAAAAGTTACGAAAAAATAAAAATGGCGCCTGCGATGATGTCTTGACTTTCTTTTTTAATTTGTTAATAATTCGCATACGACGTTATTGGAATCATTGAAAAGTTACTAAAATATAAATATTCCTCAAAGGAATATGAAATGAATGTGAAGAAAATCTATTGAAATAAATTATATCAAAGCTGTTAAAACGCAACGCCAAGCAGCAGTAACATACAATACGAAGCATACCACGATAGAGGAGGCACACAAAAAAAAAAAAAACAAGAGAATTTGTTGCCGTTTCCATTTGCCCACCACAACAGTTTTATTCGTCGTTTTGGGGCATTCATTCATACGTGTTCGTGCGTGTGTTTTTTTTATTTTTTTTTTATTCTTCATTAACTGAATTTTTTGAATTACACGACGAACTCGACGTAGAAGGAGGCCTTGAGGATGTGTGCTGCTCAAAGTAATCCGACGCAAAGTTTTGGTCCTTACACATGGGGTTTTGCGGCCGACAATACTCGGGCAGATTCCGTATTGGAGATATCGCCCAATATCAACTATACCGTGAGCAGTGAATCTGTAAGTTCCAAATTATTGTAGTTTTCGGGGGAGTTACGTTTATTTCGACGTGTTCGCTTTTCTAGATTGAAGAGAAGAACCTGGTTCTACATTACAAATCGTTTTCATTTTGATATTCTTCTTGTTTTTGCTTGTGCTTAACACAATACAAAACAAAAATGTAAATACAACACATAAAAATTTTTTTATATGACTGTACTTGTGATAGTCGTGGTAGTTTCGTTAGCCGTGGTCGTCATGTAGTCGTCGTCGTCGTTGCTTTTGCCAGTGTGTGTCGTTGTTGTTGGAAGTGGTGCTGTTGTTGCCCGTTTAGAGACACAGAAGAGCAGCAGAAGTTAACAACACACACACACAATACATCGACAACGACGAGTACGAACGGCTGGCTGACAAGCAAACAGACGAACTGGCAGGCAGTCTAGCAAGCAAGTAAGCAAAGCAAACCAGCAACCAAGCAAGCACACAGTCCATATTGTAAGAAAGCGCGCGCGTGATGATGTATGGCTGTGTTCTTGTTATTGGTTTCCTTCCCACCGCTCACACACACACGGTCGACTCAACAAAGTAATGATTATGTAGTATGAAATGTTTTGTTGTGTGTTTTCTTTTGCTTGGCTCTTTCGTTGTGGGATTGTTCAACGGAATGATAGATAAAGGGGGGAATTGGGTGGGAGAGGGTTGTATTGTCATTGTTTGGCATACGGGAGGTTTTATGCTGCTTTTGCTTAGAACCATAGTATGGTGGCATTGCGCGCGCCAGAAGACTGTTGTTTATGCCACCAATATTATGAAGTGTTTCTACCATACATCGATACGTGTTGATGCAATGTATTTCTTTTTTTTTTTAATTTAATTGTTTTGCTTTTTTGTTTAGTGTTATGTTTTTTTTTTTTTCTTCAATGTGTGTTTTTTGTTGATAAATACAACGGCAAAGCACATACAGTTGCATATAATTTTAACACACATTTTTGCAGAGAATTAGTATGAATTAGTAGCATGAGATTTGTATAGAAAATAGAAATAAACAAACAACAATATGCTTGTTCTTCTGCATACGCATATGCAGCATGCCTGTCTTTTTGAAGTGGGAAAACTGTCAAATAGCAAAACATCACCATCATTTCCTGACCAACTTGTTTTTTTTTTTTTTTTTTTTGGATAAAGAAAAAAGGCGCGTCTTTCAGTAGGTATCGGATATTTTGAAGATGGGCCATCCAGGCATGTCAGTAATCAATTCAGTAGGAATAGCTATGCGCTGATTATTCTTCAAAAGCAGAATCGTATCGATAAAAATCTCGGGGAATTGGGCAATTTGCAGATGTGACGATTAGACATGATTATCTAAAATCTCACTTCATTTTGCACATACCTATGGGGTCCATAGCAACAGGCTTCTCACCGATGAAGGTATCATCCATAGAAACTCAATAGTTCTAGAGAAAAAAGTGAATTCAGGACATCAATGTCCTAATTGCCATACATGTGTGACATAGTTTTAAAACCTTAAATATTTATATTTGCTAATCCAACAAAATCTAAGCATTCCCTTAGTTTAACAAAAAATTACCTTTCCATGTAAAATATGCAAAAAATGGCAAATATAGCAATTGCTGATAGGGCCTGGCTACCAGCCTGCATACGTCCCTGCTATATATATGAACCCAACATACCAAAATGGTTTACGAATAATATTACAATCTGCCAGAGATAATCTAAAACATTGACAAATGTTTGTGTAACAAATATAAAATAATCCATGGTAAAATAAGAAGGAAGAACAGCTTCGTAAAACTACATAAGTACAGCCCTAAGGCTATGCCCGCTTTCTGTCGAATTTCCATGCAACAGTTTGTTTTAATTTATTTAATATTTTTCCGCTTTTTTAAAATCAGTTAAACAGCGGGAAAAATGAATTAAATGCCTGGATTTTCTTTCAAAAATATGATCTAAACAGTTCTATCTTTCAATTCCGTGGCAAAACTGGCAAATGGCTTTAAAGCGCGTCTCGCAATGTACGCGTTTTCCAATCATTGATTTTGAAAATATTTTGTTTTTATTTTTCAAAACACAAAATTGGCAGAAGTCGGGCACAAAATTGTAATCAGCTGGTAGCTCTACCATACCTTTTTATTGTACCATGGAATAATTGAAATTGAACCCTTATTTATAAGCTTATACTTGTGATTGTAGAACAAACTTTCAAAAGAAGTAATATTATCTTAAGCTTATTTTTATAATAGTATAAAATATTTATTTTTTCATTTTTTTAATCATTTTACACATTTCATTCATTGCTGGCCAACCCAGTTGCCATTGCCACCAGTGGCCTTGATACCTTGACGCTTCCTTTTTCCTTATTTGAGCTTCTGCATCTTCCCCACTAATACTACACTTCTATTGCATATCTGCAACTTTTTTTGATTGACTCCAGTCTGAAACGATATTGAAATAATATATACCACATCATTACCTTAATAATTCGGTCCGGAAATGGGTCCTAAGTTCGCTTAATTATACTTGTTACCAAAGAAAAAAATTGTAGCCGACAATTTTCACAAAAAATATAAAACTAATTTGTAAACAAAGTCTTATTTGAGAAAAGTTTGTGCAACATAAGTGTTTCTCAAACATTGTTGAAAAAAAATTGTTATGGCGAACTATTTTTATTATATTATTTTCAAGCTGTATTTTTCATTCAAGCTTGTATTTTTGGTATGTTGGCAGGTTATCGGCCATTTTATTGTTTTAAAATGTTCATAGTGTAGTTTGTTGAGATCCTGAGCATGGCCTTTTTTATCACGATTCAAAAATGACATCGAAAACACAAATTTTTTATGTTTTCTTTAATTAAAAAAATCAGAATTGATGTTTTTCTATCGAGTACACTTTTGTATTGTCATACAGAAACATGCCCTAAAAGGACGATGTTCATGTAGGTGCCTATTCATTTCATGATCGGAGACTGTTCTTTTCTTCGCATTTTATGTATTTGAGCTTTGGAATATGAATAATTTGTACATCTAAAACCTATTTAGGCTTTTTCCCCTCAATTATGAATAGAGACTGGATCTTCACAATACGAAAAACCGGTTTGTAACAATATATTTTTTTTTTTGAGGAAAATCCAAACTGAAAAATTTTTACTATTTTGTTTGGAAATTAGGAAATTGTTTGTAGTTATAGATAATACCTATCCTCAGATGTAATTAATTGCTAACATCAGTTTAAAAACCACATACATACAAAATAGCTGGGATGCAAACCGGTTTCGGACCGAAATTTTTGCGAGCCAAACCATTTTACCAACCTATTTCAAATAAGAATTGTTTGGTTAGGTTAAACAAGTTGTGTATCCAAAATTATGAATTTGTATCGAAACGTAAACAACGTTTATTATTTTATTATTTTTTTATTACTTCCTTATAAAAATCAGTTAAAACCATATCATTTAATATATTTTACTATAAATATGTTTAAAATAGCTTGAAAGCTAGCCACAGCGAAACTGGATATATATGTACATATAACACTGAACTGAACCGAGCCGCATGAAAACCATTTCAAAAACCGAATTATGGTTCAAATGGTAATGTGAACCACTGGACTGAACCAACCAAAATATATGTCTAAGTACCAATATTAATTTTATTTAAGGGAGGAGTGTACAGAGTGGTTCAGATCTCGAGAATAGCTATTTTTATATAAGAACGTGGTCGTTGATGTTAATTTTGTACCTCGTATAATATTGATCCCTACCAATCCTCCTATGCACATGTAAAGGGTGATTTTATAAAAGCTAAAGGAAAGTTAAAAAAAGAAAACCCATAAAATTCAGAGAAATTCATAAAATTGTCGTTTGAATTGTTCGAACGGTTCATAGAATTTAATGTTTCAAAATTAGTTCATGCAAATGTTGACCGCGATTGAGCCTTAAATAGTACACTTGCTTAAACATTCTATTTCCGACATTTTGGCCGGCATCACACAAATAAATGCTTCAATGTTGCCGTCCAATGCGACAATTGAAGCAGGCTCGTCTGTATAGACCATAGCACCGCAAGAAAAAGTCAAAGGGCGAAACGATCTAAACAGCCAATTGATCGTTCCAGAAAGTGAATAGATCTCGCTCCTCAATAAGTCTACTATATATATTTATTTATTTAACTATTTTTTTATTTACTTATTCATGAACATGTCAATTCTTTGTTTTTACCCTTTATTCGATGCCTTATTTTATTAAATTATTTTTATTTCTTTCCGTAGCGTCTTCTATCTTTCATCACTAATATTATAATGTTATTAAAATTATTATTCCCTTCACCCTAGAAAAGAGGGTTTATATTAAAGTTGTCATTCCGCTTGTAACAACTCCTGAAATTCGTCAAATACCCCATAAGGAGGTCCACTTAATGATGTCCTATAGTCTGCCTGTCCGTTAAAATCAATATACAGTTTATATTGTTTGACGTAGATCTTCGAATTGTGTTCATATTGTGTGTAGATGGATTGGTATTGAAAATGTGCTATATCGGTTCATATTTTTCTATAGGCTACATATAAAGGTACCTGCCGATTGTCTGCAATTTTCACGGAATTGTTTCATATTTGGTAGTTGAACTTACTATCGATAAAAAAACCATCTACAATTTTCTACGTAGATGTCCGTTTTTCTATAGCCCTCTAAAGCAGAAATTTGTCTATGATCGGTGCCGCCCATTTAATGGTATTATTCCGAATCCGGATTTTTTATTCATAAAGGTTTCCTTCCTGAGAGGATAAAGAATGCTCGACCGTCGAAACAGAAGGCGTGCATTCAAGTAAGGGAGATAAAACTGCATATTGTATAGTTAGAATATCAGCTACATTGAGAAGTGAAGAAAGTTCAAATAATAGATATGGGTCGATAATTTTTCAATACCATATGTCTTTACTGTCTTAATATTAGCGGTTAATAAACTCATAATATCTATTTTTACTGTTTTAGTATTTTTCTAATTTCCGTTTTATTTTTGATCAAAAGCTTCAAATAAATAAACGTTCTCCCTGGCAATAAAAAAACTTTTGTAGAACAACTTGATTTTCAAAAAATTTTTTTTTTAGACTGAAATTAAGCTCAAGCCATTAACTCATCTTACATTTACATTTCTATTTCAGATGCCATATTTGTTATCTACAGATGGGTCGTTAACAGTTCAAAAAGATGTAAAAGCCGGCTTGGCGCCCAGTAAAGGCCTTGTACGGCGCATGGTGCTTGTCAATGATCCCTTTTCGCCAGGAGGTCAAAGGTGGGCAATGCTATATGACTCTTTATTCTTTAATTTTTCTAATCAATATTTTTTGTTTTATTTTTTCCAGAGTGATAACAAGTGGAAATTCCACAGTGGTCAAGAAACCAGATCAACAAGTTCTCAGTTTAAATTGTGACAAAAATTGTAGGTTTAATTTCACTATATGATTTTTTTAACAATGCGTTAATGAGTTTCTTTTTTCGTTTCCTTGCAGATCTTTTGGTGGATCAAACAGATCAGACACATCTCAGCAATGGCATTGTGGATTCGAAAGCACAAACGATATTAACATCAGCGGGTAAAACACACTTTAGCCCTATTGGGCCATTGCACCTAACGGCCGAGGAGTGCAATGAGATTTTAATGAAGCGTGCCTTGGCCGCTTCACATCCTCAGTCGATAACAGCGAATGATGGTCATGCGACCTCAGCAAGTAAGGCTTAAACCTGAAATCGTTTTTCTTTCAATTTTTCATTTGATTTTATTATTTAATTTATTCTTTATTGTATATTCTTTTTATTTAATTTAATTTATTTTTAGTATTAGTTATTTTCTATCATTTATTGTATTTTATATCCATGTAATTTTTGTGATCTGATTTGTATTATTTACCTTCTTCGTCTTTTTTGTTTTTATCATTTGAAATTTTAATTTTATTTTTTTATTTTCGTTTCCGTTAACTATTTTAAAAATATTGGCCATGCAATGTTAGGTGACATTATGCCTGGTATTTCAGTGCAAGTACAGAAAGTTATACAAGGTCTGGAAGAAAATGATGAATCACAAGGTGACACACCAAATCTAAAATTGGAACCGGGTACATTGGAACTATCACCGAAAACCGAATTACAAGAAACAATGCATTTTAGTGATGTAAGTTCGCGTCATAATTAAATTCAAATTACACCGAATATTATGTGGGTAGCTTGAATGATGATATTAAGAAAAAAATTATTTAGCCCGCTTAATAACGATATTGTATATTGTATTGTAAACCTCTTTTTCAGAGACAATATGTCCCCCGTATATATAAAATACTGATGATATATTCGTTAGGGTAAAAATGTGGCACTTCGACAACTGGTTAAGACCTCATAAATGTTTGCACGAGATCTTTTTATTTAAACTCAATCATGCCTTTTTTGATCCAGTTGTAGCACGTACTATACGGCTCACTACGTGTGTTACATCCTTAAAAAGGTTAAAATTGGAAAATGTTATTTTTGGGGCCAAAATTTTTGTATTCAATATGGAACAAATTTCCATCGAAATAAATTCATTTATGTGCATTATAGTTTAATAATAATAAAAAAATCACATTCTTTATTAAAACATTTCTACCGAAAATCGTAAAGCTGTATTCCACATTCCTTTCGATCGGATTTTTTTGATATCGAATGCGAGCATTATGATCTAGAACATTTAAAAAATCGTACACTTCATTAAAAGTGAAGGGAGTACTCACTTCCCATTTTCACATATTATTATTCCCATGAACCTAGATTAAGTTCAAAGAAAAAATATATCGACCCACAACTTCTGAAAACTTCCCATATGTGTCCAACAACCTTCATAGACTAAGAAGCTTTCTCCGTTTTTTTTTTTTCATTTTTGTCTACTGTTCTTCCCAACTTCGCTCTCGTTACTGCTCAATTATGCGGTCTTAATTTAAATTGCAATCTAAACTGTCAACTTACCCACATAATTATGGTGTATTTATTTGATTTTTAATTTTTTTATTTGATTTTACTAAAACCAAATTAACTGATTTTTAAATTTTCCATTGATTTGTATTGTTTTTTCTGTTTCCGATTGTTTTTGTTCCTGTAGAACGATACCACAATAAAGAAGGAGCGCCCTTACAGTTGTGAGGAGTGCGGTAAATCATTTTTACTGAAACATCATTTAACCACTCATGCTAGAGTGCATACAGGTGAGTTATAGAGCACCTCTGAAATCATACTCCCCAAACCCCATTCCTTGTAGTAAAAAATAAAAAAGAAATAAATAATCACCAGAAAAAAAATTGCGGAGCAAAGTTTGAATAAAACATACAGGATTCTTTATTACATGTCTATAATTTTTGATTGCATTTTGTTTTTTTGTTGTTCAGTTGGCAAAGAAATAATTAAAAATACGATGTTGTCATTTTCGTTTTGAAAGTCATTTTAAGCCTGAAAGCCTAGGTTTCCATATGCCATCAAATCTTTAAGAGTTCCTATTGATTTGCTAATTCTTCTCTTTAACATTCATTATTCTACAGGCGAACGTCCTCATGTTTGTACACATTGTGGCAAAAGCTTTGCCCACAAACACTGCTTAAACACACATTTACTGTTACACTCCACCGATCGCCCTTACCAGTGTACAGAGTGTAAGAAAAGTTTTACATTGAAACATCATTTGTTAACACATTCACGTGTTCATTCGCGTGATCGGCCGTTTATTTGCCAGGAATGTGGTCGTACATTTCCCCTCAAACGTCACCTGGTGACACACAGTAAATTCCATGCCGGCGAACGGCCGTATGTGTGCGACGAATGTGGCGAAAGTTTTGCCCAGGAAAATCATCTAATTATGCATTCACGGTAAGCGTTTCATTTGACCAATCGATTGGACATGTTAATTTTGTGAAACTTCGTTTTTAATTTTCTTTCCAGTTTCCATGGTTCTGTAAATCCCTTTGTTTGTCAGGATTGCGGTGTTACATTTCCTCGAAAATTTCAATTGGTCAATCATGCTCGCATACATGGCAAAGTACCACATTCATGTACGGTATGTGGCAAGGAATTTTTACAGAAGCGTACTCTGGTGGCACATATGCGGTAAGTTGGGTTTTTACTTAAAATTTGTATTTAAATCATATAGTAGCGGTCAATTCTATTATACTGGTATAATATAATGTTTTTTTTTTTCAAATAGATTAGGAAGACATTATTTCATTGGTTTCCATATGGAAAAAAATTTAAAATAGTTATATTATTGCCACAGGAAAGGTCATCTATGCATAGACGATTTTATCTATTTATAGAAGACGTCTTCAGAACATGGTTTCTCAGTATAGAGTAGGCTATTGGATATGACGACTTTTTTTGAAAAGCAAGCTTCATAAGCTTCGAGCATTCACACATGAATGCGAATCACGTCCATACCAAAAATTTGAAAAATCTATATAAGAAAAATTAAATCAGGGAAATTCATCCTATGTTCAGTCATAATCATTATTATTGGTAATTTATATTAATTAATTCCCATCTGCAATTCTAGCGTTCATACTGGCGATCAACCACATCCTTGTATCAGTTGTGGTGAAGGTTTTATGACACGACCCGATTTAAATCAACACATACGCAGTGTACATGGCGGTGTCAATCCAAATTCTTCAAATACAGCATCAGTGCCGTCCAATAATGCTGTTATAACATCTCAACAACAAACTCAAACTATACAAGTAAGTTTATCAGTTGAATGATACATTATTTCTGGAATAGGTTGTTCTAATTTCGTTTCATTCTGATTCCGTTCACCAGCAAATACACCAAACGCAAGCCCAAACAACACACCAGCAACAGCAGCAGCAAGCGCATCAGGTGCAAAATAGCCACCCACAGACCGTAACCGTGGTTAGTAATCCCAACAACTCAGCATTGCTGACAGTAACCAATGATGCAAATAATAGGCCACAATTTGTTTGCCGGTAAGTTATGAACAGTTATTTTTATTGGAAATCGGGTGAGAGCTAATTCTGCTTTATTTTGTTCTTAGGGAATGCGGAAGTGCCTTTAACAGTCGCGAAGCTTTAGCCCTTCACCTGCGTTTACATACCGGCGATAAAAGTCTTATGACCGATTTGTGTGCTTTAACCGCTGCCTTGCCAACCCATCTCCTAAGCACAGGCAGTCTTAATCCTGGAACAGCAACCGTGGTATCTGCAAATCCCAATATCATAGCCCAAAACCAAATGCCAGTTCAAATCATATCATCAACGGGTCAAGTTGTTTCACAGACAACACTGGTGCAGGCCGCCGCTACGACTCATCCGCAAAGTTTAGTTGCCACAATGCCATTGCAGGCACATCATCAGCAGCAACAACAGGCAACTCAACATTTACAAAATGGTAATCCCGCAGGCCATCCTCAACAACAACAGCAGCAGCAACCGCAACAGCAGCAACAACAGCAGCAGCAAACGCAACCAACACCCACCAAACCCAAGTCTCATTTCTGTGCCAGCTGTGGTAAAGGTTTTGCCGCAAAACATGGCTTAATGCAACACAATCGACGCCATCCGAACGGCGGCTGTACCGTACGCACGCATGTTTGCGAATGTGGCAAAGCCTTCTTCCAGAAGAATCATCTAATGCTACATCAACGTCAACATCTGGAAACGAAACCACCCATTACACAGCAACAGGTGTGTTGAACCTCTCACTCCTCACAATCATTCTCTCAAACAAAACAAACAAGCTCTCTAAATATGAGTTTAAATCTTTCCAAATAAATCAATGGTTGTAGTTGTGCAACGTAAGTGTTGAAGATGATTTACCAAATAATTAATTAATATTTTGTTTTTTGAAAGCAAAGAAAATGAGTCGTCCACCATATGATGCTCTCTAAACCTCCCTCCCTATACCTATTCTCCATATAATGAGAAATTCGAAAACAAAAACAAACAAGAAATTATTAGATTTTTTCTTTTGTAATAATTTTATATATTATTTCTTCTTTTTGTTAATATGTCTGCATACACATACACACACCACAATCTCCCTTCCTTAATTAACATATCCCCCACAACACCCCAACACAATACACAAACAAACAGTTCTCCTCAATTCCCAATTATTTGAGTAAAAAAGATATATTTTCTTGATTAATTTTTTTCTTATTAATATTTATTATTTGTTTTGCAATTTGTTTAACATTGGTGTTGGTTTCTTATTAAGTTCCATGATTATTTTACACATTACACAATCCTACTGATTTTAGTAGATTATGTTAGATATGGTTCGAGGTCGTGTGAGAAGATTTTGAATATCGAAATTTATAGGAGTGTATTTATAGAATAGAATTCTCGGATGATGGTAGAATTGTTTTTTAGCTCTCAAGTTCCGGAATGCATAAAGGACATGGAAATACCTTATAGAAGAACAACTGCAAACGTCAATCTATAAAAGATTTGACACTTAAAGCTCCTGTAGTTTGCTGACGACCAGTAAAATGGGGTTCCTTTGTGTGCGTCTCTTTCGAGACGAGCTTAATTATCTGAAATTTGCAATGAAACTATCTCACACCCAAGTCACCATTATGCAATGCGTTTCATCGTTGGCTAAGCGTCTCCTCCATTTGTTGAATATCAAAGATTTGAGGTTACACCATTACGATAAGTGGCAAGAAAAAGATTGAGGTTAATTTTTGATTGTGTCCTTTGTAAATCTTTAGAAATTACTCCTATCGTCTCGATAATATGAGCCAAATTTACATCTTGGTTTTAGTAAATTTCATTTGTTTCCCACCAATGCTACAAAGATCATTGGAGTGTTGTCTAGTGGAGTCAATAGTCCCCTATCTTCCAAGACTGGAAATCGCTTCCTGCAAGTCAGTTTTCTGATTTCTTTCTGACACCTTACCCAACATAGACCGAAAGTAAAAAGCAGATTCGCTAGAGTGAATCTATATTTATGGACGAAATCAAAATTTATCTTTGAATATGGTACAAACATCAGCCCTACTAATTTTGTCGCCTCTCTAAAAACACATTACAAGCCCATGTTTAATTTATAACTCCCTCCTTCCTTCTTATATTCGCCTATGCATGTTGACGGATAAAGCAGAGATAGATTATCTTTCTTCCATTCTCTCTGTTAGGAATCAGGATCTCAAAGTCATCAATGTAGTCACTGTTGCAATCATGAAGGTTACGACCGATATTAACATTCAGTTTTATCCTCCTCCTTGCGTACATTCAATGGCGGATTATGTCATTCTATCGGGTCGACAAAGAGTATTTTTTTCTTTTTTTTTTTTTTTTTGTGGTGGAGGTCATATGAATTTACCCTAATTTGATTCTTTTATGATTTAATAATTGCCCCTTTTTTACAACACAAAACATACCTGCACACACAACACAACCGCCAACCTCTAAATTAATTTTTATTTATATTATATCATTATTTTTTTCTACGTTTCAAGTATCTTTTCAAAATCTCTTCTATCTATCTTCTTTAAATTTGTTTTTGGTTAAATTATTGTTATTTTTTCACTAGATCTCTTCATATCTCTATCCCAACTTCCTTCTCCTCTCTCTTTCTCTCTCATCATACCTATTATAAAATTGTTTTCAAATTTCTCTTTTCATTTTTCATTATGAATTTATTAATTTTTTTTAAAAATGAGACGCAAAGTCTTGTTGACTACAACAATACAAGCAGCTTGATTTTCTTCTTCGACAGGATCCCAACGTCGTACAACAACACGTACAACAGCAGCAGCAACAACAACAGCAGCAACAGCAACAACAACAGCAGCAGCAACAACAGGCACAACAGCAATTGGCCCAACAGCAGCAGCAACAACAACAACAGCAACAAAATTCTCAACAACAACAAATGAATACCAGAGAAGTAATGATTGGTAATCAGGCCGTTCACGTGCAAGTATTACAGGGAACGAATACAGCACAAGTTATCAAATATGAAATCAATATACCCCAAGAAAATCAAAACATGGAATAGCAAGGATAGCTAATGTCATCAAATCCTTCGCAACAAATCCCAAGGAATGAGAATGGAACATAAAGATGTGTTAACACGAAAAAAAAACAAAAAACTATAATACTTCGAATAAGGACGACAGGACAAAAGCAAAACAAGCATTTACCAAAATATCTGGGAAACCGAGTAACCGTTAGTTTTTTATGCAAATGATGATGGTAAGAATTCCCTTGGGAAGGAAGCAGGAAACATTACTTCCCCCACAAAAACACCACTCCCCCAAACAGTTATAAAACGACCCGTTCCTCATTTGTTGTTACCTTTGCCTTACTACGTTGCGAGCTAAGTCATAGCCAAGAAGGAGAGGGGTTTATTGTTTCATATTTTATAATTTAATTTCACATAAAATTAACAAATTTGAATTTGTTTTTTTTCGGTTTTTATATTTCTCTCTTTTTGGAACAAAACATTAAAAATACCAATTAATCTGGCATTCATATTGAATATATGGGCTGAAAAGTCCCGATTGTAACATAGAAACACTAAAATTAATTAATTAAAATCATAAATTATCGGCTCGAATACAAGTTTTTTATGAGTCGTCAAGAAAACATGTGCGTGCTCAGTCTTTCTTATAAACAGCAGATTGTTTACTGTAATATACAGCAATTCCAAGTTTTTTTAATTCTTTTTTTACGACTTGTCTGGGGGAAAAAGCTGTAATAGAAAAGCTATTCTAATACCAAAATGTTGAATAATACATGCTCATATTGTAATCTTTGTGATCTCACCAATTCTTCTATAAAATACACACCTTCCATAGACTGAAGTCCATCAGTAAATCTTCTATAAATAGAAAGATCTTTATCATATCACCCACATATTTGTCACAGTGAGTATGTCTTCTATAATTTAGAAGAAAAGGTGGACTTCAATAGTTTTTCTAAAAAATGAATACTTTCAGTATGTTTTCTTTAGAAGGCGTTCAACAGGTCTCTTAAAAATAAAAAGTTGCATAGTTGCATAGTTGTCTAAGACAAAAGTTTGTCTATAGACAGAAGGGTTCCCACATTTGGAAATGTCTTCTATAGACATAATTACTCCAGTTAGCACAACATAGACATAATATTTTCCACATATAAGAGCTCTATAAACCCATGAAACCCTTTCTAAATAAGATTTTTACACAGACAGTAGCATTATATATATCTTGATATTTAGCAGCAGACAAATGGAAGATCGTCTACAGCTTAAATGTATTCCATCGATAATAGACCTTCCTGGTAGTTCAAATTAAGTGAATTCGAAATTCGAAAGCCATCAGTATTTCTGTTACAATTGGGAAATTTGTTTTCACCCATGTTGTGTTACGCAGGCGATTACCTTATCATAGTTTGACCTCGTCGTTGTTGTTGTTTTGTCTAAGTTTTTTTTTGTTATATATACAAATATGTGTATATATATTCATATATAATTACAATATAAATATATTTTTAACATTTATTGACACATACACATACATTTTTTTACAAATATTACAGTTAAAATTTACAAAAAGAAAAATTACATCGTCGTCCCCCTCTCTAGTTAATAACATTTATTTTTTAAATAATACCCTTTAAAGAAAGAATAAAAATCAATATATTTTTTAATTTATAAATAAGTAGAAGTATGAAAAACAAAAGTACATTACCTAGGTTTAAAACACAATGCAGTTATATAATATTTTTGTTTTAATTTTTCCATTATTATTATTATTTAGATATTCTCTTTATCAATTTTCTAATTTCATCTTTTTATTTTAATTGTAGTTTGTATATAGTTATTAATTTTATTATTTTTTAAATATTAAAGTAAAAGTAAAGTAAAACAAAAACAATGAAACACTTGAAATATTGGTACATATTTGTGTAAAAAAATGTTTTTGTTTTTTTATTAATTCTTTAAAATTGCACAGTCCATAAATCCCCCGCCCCAATAAAAAAAATAAAATTAAAAACAGCAACAGAAAATATCCTGAAACATAGCTCCCGATATTTATACAAAAAAAAAAAAAAAAAAAAAAAAAAACAACCAACCACACAAAAATTGTAGCATAAAAGGAATATCAGAAATATATAATGGACGTAATAAAAAGTAAAATCTTTAGCAAAGATTTTTATTTTAAAAAAACAGAAACATAGATTCTAGCACCATGTACTACGGAAAATCCCTTTTTAATTACACTTCTGTAGTAAAAAAGTCATTGGATCAGAGAAAACAAAAAGCGTGCACGCCTCTAACACCAAACCACCAACCCCATTTAGCTGTGATGTGTGGAAAATGGAGAATCATTGATAGAATTTTATGGTTTTGCAATTTTTATATCCATATTTAAGGATATTTATCTTGTCATGATCTAAGGAAGTTTGTATCTAAGGACAGTTGTTATGCTGCATGAATGATGTGGGGATGTTAGTTGTAGAATTGGCAATGGAGAGAGTGTGAAAAAAAACGAAACTATGATGTTTTAATGAAAAAAGAATTCTAAAAAGGAAGAACAAGTAAGACCTCAAAAACCGTATTGTCATTCAAAACCATACATCTGTCAACACCTCTTATCTAAAAATCGAGGACATACTAGAAGAGCTTCTCGATACTCTCGTTTACCCAACCGTTATTTTGGTTCAGCTATTCCTTCATCTGTAATCAAAAGTAAAGATGACACGACCATTCGGAATTAGTCTGCTTTGCAACTATCTATTCTTTTCTGCAATGTTATTATGAAACCAGAGATGTTGTCGTTATCCCTTGTTCCATTCCCAAAAGTGATCTCCTTGTATACCCCAAAGTATCTTATCCGTGTTGTTCAAATCATTTTCCTGAGTATTCTAACACTTTTGTGTGCCTATGGCCACCTGATGAGTGCTTTCAATTGTTCCAGGCTAACTCTATTTCTTTTTAATTTTCAAAAGGACCATTCCTGTTTTATTAGGCGTGGTGTACGTAAGGCTCTTTTGCAAGTGATCCTTGATACCTCCTTATTCCCTTGCAAATTTCATTTTTCAAATAAACTCACTTATGCCTTAAAGTATGCTCTTAATTTTGTTTTTAAAAATATATATTTTCTCCCAACATTTATATCAAGTTGGCGTTCTTTATTGTATATAGATACCAAGGATATTGGGAATTTTAGACCTCCCAGGGCGAGTCTCCCAAGTCCTCGATTTATTCTGCTTCCATGTATTGCCTTTAATGATAGGTTTTAGTCTTTGCATGGGATATTCATAATCAGAAAATACATAAGCAGCCATTTTTTAAGTTGTCAACACATTTGTGAAAAATTGAACAAGAGACGTTTCATCACCCTTTCCTTGAAATCTTTGTCAATATCTTTACACATCCCCTACACACATAATAGCTCAGGATAGCCCAACAATTTAGATATAAACTTCAAACAGTCGCCGGTTTTAAGTAGTCATCAAAATTATTCATTATCATCATTGATATGTAACTACAAATATTGTTGCCAACATTTTTCTTTTCTTTTTTTTGCTATATACGAATTGTGTAATTTACTTAGTTGTTAAGAAGCCATTTACCTTCTTATTTTTTAGTTTCATACAGATATTTTTTACCTTACACTCTACCAATAACTACTGCAACAACTACCCACGTATACTTATATTTTAAAATGTTATATTTTATAACTTATAAATAGTATACATACATTTAAATATATATATATCTATATCATAAATTGTAAATTTTAGGTCTAATGTTAATGAAAAGAAAATGAAAGAAAAAAAAAAAAAAAAAACAAACACAAAGAAAAATGATGATTTTTACACCTCTATTGCATTATTTCCAATTAAGTTTTAATTATTCAACCTCTACAAAATTAGTTTTTATGATCACCCTTAAACACACACACAATCACGCAAGACAAAAAAAAAATGAGCAAATATAAAACTACCCATTTTCGAATTCTTCCCCATATTTTTTTAAAAAATTAAAATTTAAATTTAACGAAAAACTAATAAACAAAGAAAAAGAAATATATAAAGAAAAATCTATGCAGTGATGTGTTGGTCGCATCTAAAACTACAACCTCTCTTTTAAGCTATACAAAAAACAAATATACAGATGAAGTAAGAGAAAAATTGTGTAAAAGATAAAAACAAAAGAAAAAACCCAACAGCAAAATATAAGAAAAATATGATTGTAAAAATATTCTAATTTTTTGTTTTCATTTAATTTTTTTATGTGTAGCAAGAGAAGAAAAAAATAATAGAAACAATTTCTGTCACATCAGTTAGCCAAAAAGGGAAAGAGGACGATTGCAAAGAGACTTGATTGCGACAAAAACTCCCACGTTTGTAAACAAGTTTTTGATCTGAATAAATTGATTTCAAATATTTAACTGATGGTAATCAACATTTGAACAACTTTGAAATCAATTATTCAAATTAGATATTTTATTAAAAAGACCCTGTGAAAAATGAATGTAAAATCTGCATGACATATTCTTTAACGCGACAAGTTCTCTAATGAATGTTTCATTAAAAAAAAAAAAAAAAACTTAACAAAAAATAAAGTCTCCAAATTTCGATTCAAGCCACAGAGGATGTATCCTTGAGAAAAGGTTTCCAAAGGAGTTTAGCTGCTGGAGCTTTTAGGACCAACCTATTTTTATTGATGTAGGACGGTATAAAAGGAAAATTGTAAGAGTTTGTTGTTAGCTACCGGAAGTATTTGGCAGTATTTATTCTGTGGAAATATACCTGCCAGCAACGAAAATGTTAAGTTCTGAATTAATTTTCGAGTTCAGGAAATTAAGGTTTAAATCGGTGATGCTTGCCAAATAGCAGGATCTTTCTGTTCTAACGAAGCATTTTTGGTGTAGGACTAGGAATGTTGTCAAAAATGCAAGAAATATTTTCGTACTGCATTCAGTGACGATATGCCGTCAACGAAAATTTCAAGGTCATAATAGACTACTGACCTCCCTAGAAAGAAGATTTACACTATGGACTTTTTTGGAGATATAGAATTGAAAAAAAAAAGAAAGACTTGTAGTAAGAGTGGTTTGCTAGGCTACGATATGCTTTTACAAAACCTATAGATTATGATAGTATCTACATCTTAGAAGAACGTTAGAGTTTCTAACATGGTGTAGTAGGTATTCAATCATTTCTAACTCTTCAGTCTGTAATGGTTAACTATATCAGTGATTGCATCTATTCAGATCCGCTTGATAGGCTTCATTATCTAAAGGCTCTCGCTTATACCGTTGGACTTATCTATCTCTCTCTCTCTCTCATGCATCCTTCCTGGCACGCCTGGGTGAGGAGTTCCATTCACCATATAATGGTTAGGATAACTCATACGGCAACGAAAGCATATATGCATATGCTGCCATAAGAGATGAACCTCTGTCTCCTCATGTAAATGGTGGGATGACTAGTAGTTTTAAATAATCCTTGTTTTACAAAATGGAAGAGAGGACACCCCCAAAACTGGATATATGGAAGGGGTTGTAAAAATTTGTCCAAAACTATAACTATCATCAACTGTAACATAAGGTAAATGACTTTTAAGTGGGATAGCGATTACAAGCTCTCTTACGATAAGGAGGAAACTGAAATGGTCGAACATTTAATCGGCCACTTTCCAACACTATTCTGTGTGAGAAATAGGCATTCTCCAACACAGAATCTGCAGTCATTCTCTATTTAATCAGAAGACTAAAGACAACATGATAAATAGATTACAAATCTATTTATACCCTACACCACAAGGTGGTCAGGGTATTATGTCTTTGTGCATTTGTTTGTAACAGGCAAAAGGAAACGAGATAGACCCATAGTTCCTTTTGATGATCTGCATAGAATCACTTTCTGAGTTGATTTATGCATGTCAGTCCGTCTGTCCATGTATTTTTGTGAACAAAATGCAGGTCGCATTTATTATCCGATTGAGATGAAATTTTCCAAACAACATTTGTTTGGCCCAAGGACGAACCCTATTGAAATTGGGGATAATCGGTAAAAAATTAGATATAGCTCCCATATATATGCACATACAACCAAATTAGGCCTAAAAATAAGCATGCCAAATATAATGGAAATCGGTTCAGATATAGCTATAGCTCCCATATATATTGTTCATCCGATTTGTTGTATTTGTTACCCACAGCCGTAATATGCACTCCGTAACAACGATATTCAGGGAAATATATCAAATACAGCTCAGAAATATCTTTGCCAAATTTTATCGAGATCGGTTCAGATTTGGATTTAGCTCCCATATATATCTTTATCTGATTTAGAATTAATTTTGCACCAAATGGGCAATACAAGTCCGAATTGAAAATATACAAATGCTTCGGCGTATTTAGTCCTTTAAATTTTAAATTATAATTTTAATCATAGGGTGTATGATTGAATTCTCCCATAAAAACTTTTACTTGTTATGTGGAGCTCAACTAAATTAGCAAAGTGGTGTAGGGTATCATAAAATCGGCCCCGCCCGACTTTAGGACTTTCTTTACTGGTTTTTTGTTCAATTTAGGATGGTCCAAAGGACCGGGAGGTCTCCAAGTCTGGCAGATGTTATTTTCTGACCAAAATAAAGTAAAATTAAATGTTGCCAAATATATCTCAACATATTGGCGTCTCTTTGTATATGGTCAACGGTATATAAATGCCTTAAGAAGTTTGACCTAAGAACCCGAAACAGTTTTAGGGTTTTGATATAATACAAATCGGATACTATCAAATTCACATGAAATTTTACACAGTAAAGAAATTTTATGTTACTTTCATTCATTAACTCGAATAAAGACAGCATTAAAATAGATCCGAAAAATTAGTTTATTTTTCGTGTTTTTTGGAAACATTGATGCAATTTTTCTAGGTATGTAATGGAAATCGAGATTTCTTTTATTTGCTGAATTTTGATGAAGGATAATTTTTTGACGTTATCCTTCTTAAATGATACTTTGTAGGTGTATTATACATAAATTCATGACAAAAGGGTTTAACTAATTTTAATTTTCAATGCCATTGAGTTTTGCTGTGCGAAATTTGTTGCTTAAAGTCGATCAGAGTTCCATAGGTCATGAAAACAACCTGTGCTCTGTTCCATAACTGCAAGAATGTAAAAGTTTGTACTATGATAAACGATTATTCCTCTGTGATATCGAAAAAATGCTGGTTTAAGGATACGCCACTACACGAATTCGGCAACTGCTTCACTCGGAGACCTTTGGACCATTGTGTTCATCCGAACAGAAATGAAAAATCTGGGAATAGGGTAGATATAGAAGCGAGCTGTTAAGTTAGGAGGTTGGTCTGTCTACCAAAAGTATTGCCTTTGGAGGATGTGTAAATGATGATGCAATATATTCGAGAAGAACGTAGCCAAATAGCCTTTGTCTTTAGTTGGATAACATTGAACGCATGCAAAGCAGATGTTCAATCGTCTTTACCTCTTCTTCATCTTCACATAGTCTACTGTAGTCAGAAACACTGTTGCCCCATCTTGAGGTCAGATATCTCTGCAGTGACCAGTCAGTATGTCCACCACGATTCTTAGATCAGACCTACTAACTTATAAAAGGGACCTTGTTCTTGCCCTCGAGATTACCGGCCAGATGACCTTAGATACCCAGAAACCGGTTTCCAAATGCCAGCTTCAATATGAGACTTTTAAGCAGCTAATGTCATAGCTTATTGGTGGTTTAACAGTATCATCAATCGGTATATAAATCTACTGGGACCCGCATCTGCCACTTCATTTCCAACTATATTGCTATGAGCCCACGTGTTTCGAGGAGGCTTTCTTGCATGCAAGAGTAACCCTCGATTTAATGTCTCGTAAATCTAAAAGATTTCTGCAGGTTCTGAAACAGAGCACTGCTTTTCAATTTGCTTGTTCCATTGCCGTTATTATTCCCTCCACCATAGTATGGATGGTATATTAAATTTGTCATTCCGTTTGTAACACCTCGAAAGTATATATATTCTTGATCAGCATAGCGATGTCCGTCTACCCGTGTGTCCGTCTGTGGAAATCACTCTTGCTTCTGAACGAAATGAAGTAGATTGATAACATTTTACTCAAATGTATATTATATCTGCAAGACTTTCGGCATTGAAAATGGGTGATGTAGATCCACGTTTTGGTATAGCCCCCATGAAATGGTACCTCCTTTTTTCGGTATTTTGGTGATTTAAGCAACATTATTCAACGGAAATGTTTCAAATTTGGTATTTGAAGCTCGTAATGGGTACTACAGCCTATGACAGAGAATTGTCCGCGCAGGTTCCCGTCTTCGTATAACCCCCATATAACGGTACCCCCATTTTTTCGGTATTTTTTGGTGCATTATTTGCCGGATTTTGGTGCATTATTCGCCGGAATTATTTCAAATTTGGAATTTGAAGTTCGTAACGGATGCTACAGCCTATGACAGAAAATTGTCTGTGCAAGTCCACGTCTCCATATAGCTCTCATATAACGGTACCTCCCGATATTCGGTATTTTGATGATTTTAGCGACATTATTCACCGTAATCGTTTCAAATTTGGTATTTTAAGCTCGTGACGGATGCTGTAGCCTATGACAGAAAATTGTCTGTGCAGGTCCACGTCTTCGTATAGCCCCCACATAAGGGTACATCCCGATATTCGGTATTTTGATGATTTTAGTTACATTATATTACCGATTTTTTTAAGTTTCGGTATTTTTAAGATTTTAACAGAATTTTTAACGGATTTTATTGTTTTTGAGAATTGCCAAATTCGTTCCAAATGGTGGAGGATATTCAAAGTTCGGCCCGGTCGAACTAACAGCTTTTTTTACTCGTTATTTCTTAAATATTTTATAAAAGAATAAAAATTGAAATATTTTTCGGGAGTTCAAATTTCGTCCCTTTATGTAGATTTTTTAAAATGAGTTTCTTTCGTTTTTTCCTTTTCCCAATTTAAAGAAGAAATGCAAAAAATTAAAACATATACAAGTCTTTTTAAAAGAACACCCCCATACACACAGGTACTATATAAATAAAATTACACGAAGTTTAATATTAGACAAAAACAAAGAAAAACTTAGTTTAACAGAATCAACATAAACATGTTATACATATTTATATATAAATAGTATATATAAAGGTGAAGATATACATGCATATATATAAAGAATAATAAGTTTTAACTAATATATAAAGA